GCTTTTTGCAGTGTAAATATCCAAGCATGAGGCCGATCAATCAATTGAAAAGGGAGAGATTCTTATTTGTTTTTTTTTTGTTGTTGTCTTTTTTTCTTTTTTTCCTCCCTTTCCAATGTAGCAAACAGATTGCTGTTTAAATGTACAAGGGTTGTGTGTTAAAGGTTAGATTGCGTTAAATAAGATCTCGTTGAGAGCACAGGCTGGTTTGGTTGCATTCTTTCTGTTCTTGTGCCCCAGGTATGTTTGGATTTATATATGTTTTTTTTCGCCCAATGATGTGGTTTAGGAGAAGTTGAGAGAGAAGAGACAACTGGGCATGTTGTGCCCTTCAATTGATAGATTGCTGTTATCATGGCTAGCAAGAAGAAAGGGTTTGGTTGTTTTGTTTTGTTTTTTTTAAACAATGTTTCATGAACTGTTTTTATTTATTTTCTTCAAAACAACTTACTTCTAGGAAGACACAAAAAAGTTGTGAGTTCAAATTTCCAAAGTACATAAGGAAGAAATGGTGCAAGTTCAAATTTGCACAAGTGAGGATAGTTTTTTAGAAAATGCTTGAACAACTATGTCTATATTAGTAGAATCTGATTATGATGTTCAAGTTTATTTTCAATATAGAATAACATGTATATACTTTTTGTTATCAACCATATATAGTTAGTGATAGACATACTTTTGTAAATCTTTTATGAAACTTGTATCGGTTTAAGTTTTACTAAACATCATCAAATGGGGGATGACAAATTTTCATCAAATTTTGTACAATCATTTTTTTTTCCACTTAAAATTTGATTGAAATTGTAAATGATGAAGAATTAGAGATCAAATTTTTTTTACTTGAATTGGTTAAATGAGTTTTTTGGAATATGTTAGGCATTTTAAAAATGCTTTGATGGGAAAATTTGATTGTCAATGTTGAAGTGGGTTATATCAAATTAAACTTTTGATGTAAATTTGTTAAATAAATTTAATGAGAGAAAAAAAATATGAACGGTTAGAGATGGTCTTAGAGATTGGAAGACAGGGATGGTTGTTTCACTGTTCTGATCTCCCTCTCTTCTCTCTCCCCTCCCTTTGATTCTCATTCAGATCTGGTTTTAATTCAAATTTAATGTTTGCCTCACCAGTTTTGACCATAGCCGCTTTATTTTTTCCACTCTTAAGTTAAAATTTTAAGATCTTTTGGGTGAATTAAAAAAAAATTTAACAAAAAAAAATATTAAAAAAAAATTTAAGATTCTATTTCAAATCTTCTTATAGTTCAAAAACCGACGTTGAATAATCACTTGTTTTATTTAGGGGACCACCTCAATCTTAATATTTTATCTTGAACAGCGGAGATGGATCTTCAGATTACAAGTTAAGGAATGCAGAATTTTGGATGAGGTTGGTGGCGACTGGGCTTGATTATTATTATTATTTTTCTCGTTTTGTTTTCTTAATTTTTAGTTATTTGAGGTTGGTGGCGACTTGGACTTGATTTTTTTTTTTTTTTGTTTTGTTTCTTAATTTTTAGTTAGCTTCCTCTGAGGCCTTTTCTCCTCCTTTATGAAGATTTGGATCATTATTTTTTATAGAAGTTGCTCATCTTTTTTTGAGATCTTGTGATACTGCTAGACTTAAATTGATCCATTTTTTAAAAAGTTTTTACAATGGAGATTTTCTTCATAATAAAAAAAAAAGAGAGAGATGGTCTTAGAGATCAAAACTAAATTATTATCAAATTGATTTTTGATATTATTCATTTTATTGAACCGATATAAAATATTGTTTTTGGGGCAAATAAAGAATTCATTAATATTTTGTTAGGCACTTGACACATTTAATCATGTTTGTAAGGCATTGAGTTTGACCTAATTAGTCTATAACCACACCGTACAGTATAGTGAGGGGAAGGTTATATTACAATTTTCAGATTACAAAGCTGGTCGATTCGGTTGGTCTCTCCCAACGGTCATGCACAGTGTTTTGATGAAATGCGGAGACCTGTCCTCATTTTGGTGAAACGTTTGGTGAAATCTCGATTTGATATCAAATTTGGTGAAACCGTTGGAGCATAAAAAAAGTTTTTTTTTCACTAAATTTTAAATTTGATGCCAGATTTGGTTCAGGGTTGGAGATGGTCTTACAATCTCCATGCCCTCACTAGATTTGCATCCGGCCACCAATGTTGGGGTCGTTTCTCCTCTTTCTAATTTTTTAGATCTAATATTTGGCTTGCACTTAAACTTTCACCTCGTTCCAAAACATTGCTTAGTTAGAGTTTTTCAAAAATACTTTTCAGAAAATTCTACTTTCTTGTTTTTTCGTATTTTTTTTTTGTTTTTACTGATTTTTTTTAATATTTTAAGCAATTCTTTATTTTTATTTTTAGACATACCTAACATAAATATACCTAAAAAGTAAAAATTTATGAAAAAATCTTTTAAAAATTCAGTAATATTAAAATATAAAAAAAAAAACGAGAATTAGTACATTTTTTTATATTTTTAGTATTTATTAATTTTAAAATATTTTTTCACAATTTTTTTAACTTTTATAGATACATCAGTAAGTAAAAAAATGTTTTTTAAAATTTTAAAAATATTCACTAAAAACAAAAAAAAAAACACGAAAATTAAAAAGCTTAATTTTTAAAAAACTTAATTAAAAAAACTCAAACAAAACACACTAATTAAAATCTGGTTTCAAATATTCTCATAATTCGAAAACCAACACTATGTAACGCTTTCGCTTTATGGTAGGCGACCACCTCAACTTCAATGTTCCATCTGGACTAACGGAGATAGGATGCTTAGATTTCAAATTGAATGTTGCAGTGTAATGGAGTTTTGAATGCATTTGGCAACTTAGATTTTGTTATTTTCGGTTTACTTTTTTATTTTTTTAGTGTTTGTTGTAATAATCCTTCATGTGTGGAGGTCATGTCCCTCATTTGTGAGGGTTTTTTCTCTCCTTTATGAAGGTTAGGATTCTTTTAAAAAGTTTTTTATTTCTTTATGAGATATTTTGTTATGAGATTGAGGCCTTGTTTGTAATCTCTAAAAAAAAAAATTAAAAAGTCATTATCCTATTTAAGTCACATCATTTTATTTAAATCACATCACCTCTCTATCGCATCACTTCAAACTCAACCCACATTTTATAAAAGTCAAAAAGTGCACTTATTTAGAATATCTCAAACAACCTCTTAATAAAAATAAGTGAAGTTTAGATTAATTACAAAGGCTCCGTTTGGCAAGAGTTAAACGGGATTTTTTTAGCTATTTTAGTCACAAAAGACAAATTAGGCTATTTTAGTCAAAAAAACAAAATATCACATCCAATCCATAATCATTACATTTTTTTCTCACAAAAAAAATTAAAAAAGTCAAAAAATTAAAAAATCCTTCCCAAACCAAACTTTTTAACCCAGACTAAAATAACCAAAAAAATCAGAAAACTAAAAACCTAACCCACGTCCCAAACGGAGGCAAAAGGATGTTAGAAATGGTTAAGCTCTCAATCCTTCAAGTTGTCTCTCTCAGCCGTCAATCTCAACTGTTGAGAGTGAGAGTGAGAGAGAGAGATAGAGAATCAATGGCGGGTCGAGTACAGTTGTCTAAACCAAACACCCTCTGGTTCTTATCATCATCATCATCTCGACTATATTCACTCAATTTCAGAGGACTCCACAACCACAATAATCTCAATTTCAAGAATCGACTCCATTTTTGCCCCAACTTGGTCTCATCTTCTCCCTCCAGAGGAGCTCTGTACTGCACTTGCAGAAGCACTAATCTCTCTAATGGCGAAGCAATCTCAGACCCTTTCGTCCTCACAACTCCCCTTTATTACGTCAATGCCCCTCCCCACATGGGCAGTGCCTACACCACCATCGCCGCCGACGCAATTGCCCGTTTTCAGGTACCCTTTTCAGACCTCATCTTCAACTCCGTCCTTTGCTTGTTATTGAATTCATGCCTTAATTTGTTTTCTGGGTTTGGCTGCTGAGAAAGTGAAAGAAAAATATTATGTTGTTGGTTTCTCTATTTTTGTACTGCCAAATAATTACCAGTAGAAAATTATGATAAGATTGTGTATGCAAGGGTTTAACCCTTTCAGAGCTCATTTTGAAGTCCATCGTTTGATTTTTAATGAATTCATGCCTTAATTTGTTTCCTGGTTCAACAAATTTTTGGGTTGCCCTGTTTGGCTGCTGAGAAAGTGAAGGAAAAATATAGATAAGTGATATACTAAATGGTATACTACCAATTATAGGGAAATGCAATGCTTTCATTACTAAACATTTAACAACTCTGGGCATATAGGACTGTTCATAAGCTAACCTGGCTAAGCATGACTCACGAGTCAGCAGACTTTAATAAGTTATGCAGAGTTCAATCTTGAGTTGAGTTTCATGTCAAATTTTCATAATAGCAAGGGTTTTAACTAGCCGCTGAAGAGGCTCTTGAAAAAGGTAAGTACAATGGATAAATCATAGTATAAGATATTTAAATAAGGGGAGCAACAGTAATAAAAAAAGATAGAAATTAAATAAAGCTATAAGAAGATCGGTGCATATATAATGGGATTTAAAATGGTGAATTTAAAGGTACCATACCTAACAGGGTTGGACATAAAGTTAAAATGTTGAAAAATTAATACCTGGCTTGTATATAACGCTGTCGCACAATGACTACTTAACTCTGGTACCTGACTTATTGTCATGTCTAATTTATCATGGCAGAGGCTGCTGGGAAAGAAAGTTATATTCATTACTGGCACAGATGAGCACGGAGAGAAGATTGCTACTGCTGCAGCTGCCTGTGGTTCCAGCCCAAGTGAACACTGTGATGTCATTTCACAAGCTTACAAGGCGCTATGGGAAGATGTATGGTCCTCTGCTTAGGGATTCAGTCTGAATAAATATTTTTATTTTCCCCTTCTCTTCATTTACTTGTTGTTTGCAGTTAGACATAGCTTATGACAAGTTCATTCGGACAACTGCTTCCAAGCATGAAGTTATTGTGAAGGAATTTTACTCCAGAGTTCTTGCCAATGGCGACATTTACCGGGCAGATTACGAGGGCCTTTATTGCGTCAACTGTGAGGAGTACAAGGTGGTATTCTGCACCACAATAAGCTATTGGGTGGTGTAAATTAGTATTATCATTATCATCCTTTTTCTTTTCATAATGTTGATAGATTTCCGTTAAGCCTAATTTGCCCATGGTACTTGTTACACTATGCGTTGAATTGGCAGCATGTGAGCACATGCAGGAAAGTACCCAACATGCAAAATGTTCACCTCTGAAGCTCCTCAGTAAAAAAAAATTAATGTCTGTTGGAATGCATCTATGATATGAATAGATATATGTTTTCCCTAGCTATCTAGGGACTATGTATTACATTCATCTAAGTACAGAGATCAGCATCTACTTGGCTTTTAATTATAGTAGTCTGCATTTACATGGTTATCTTTAACTTAGCAAAATCTGCAGGATGAGAAAGAACTTCTGGAGAACAACTGTTGTCCCATGCATCTAAAGCCATGTGTCCTAAGGAAAGAGGACAATTACTTTTTTGCCCTTTCAAAGTATCAAAAGAAGTTGGAAGATACTTTAACACAAAACCCCGATTTTGTGCAGCCTTCTTTTCGTTTAAATGAGGTGAGATGTGCATAATTTGAGCATTTGAAAATAAATAAAATCTGTAGTGTGAATCTTTTATATGACAATGATGCTGTCATTAATTATATAGTAAATCTAAAGGAAATTGTCTCTTTCTTGCATCATTTACCATGAACCTAAGGAACATTCACTTTAGCTAGAATTATGGTTTGGTTACTTCATGTTCTCCCTGCATGTCATTTATGATATGTGCCTTTTTCAGGTGCAAGGTTGGATCAAAAGTGGCCTGAAAGATTTTTCTATTTCACGAACATCAGTGGATTGGGGCATTACAGTTCCTAATGACGTTAAGCAAACCATTTATGTTTGGTTTGATGCTCTACTGGGGTAAAGTTATGCCTTCTTTTAGTACTTCAAATTATTTTAGTGATGTAAACTAATGGGCCTCCAGACTTCCAGTTAACATAATTATACGGCTTTAATCTTTTTTCCTTCATCACATTTAAGATCCAACTGACTTGCATTTGTCAGTGTTTGTTTCTTGCTTGCTTGATTTATTTCTTTTCTTTGTTTCAATTTTTTCTTCTTCTTGCAATTGATGCAAAAATGAATGGTCATCTATTTCTCTTCTGGTCAAATTTCTTTTGGTTCATTAGATTATTGTGGACATAATCAGTATTCTATGTCCACAAGTCGGATTGCCATCTTTCATTGGTTATTGCCATGGGAAAATGGGTTTGTTTGACGCTTGCTATGTTCTTCAAGGTTGTTTTTATGTACATGAAATTACGTGGTTTCTGCTCTCTTATTTTATTTAGTTCAGCCAATCCTGTCATAGTTATTAGGCATATTACCATACTTAGCAATTCATATTTGTGTTTCTAAATCTGGATTCACAATGTGTAGCTATGCAATTGGTGTAATTTCAATTTTTTGATTGAAGCCTATTTTTAATTCAACTAGTAAAATGCTTGTAATTACTTTTGTTCATAGTTTTTATTTTCATTTGAATTCTCTCTCTCTCTCTCTCTCTCTCTCTCTCCCCCCATGTTACGCAGTTATATATCTGCACTTTCGGACGAGAAGGAACAAACTAATTTACAAACTGCACTTTCTTCAGGTTGGCCTGCTTCACTACACTTGATTGGAAAGGTATGGCAATCCCCATGCTTGCATCTAAGATAGGATGTTGATATCATCTATATTATCTGTCTGTCAAATGAAACAAACATGGAATTAGCATCCAAACACCATTTGCTTTATAAATATTGTCAACTCCATCAATTTTCTATGCCCAACTTCATGGTCCTGAAATTTAAAGAGAGACCAAAAATTGGTTCAACAAACCAGTGATTCCACTCTCTTGCCTTCCTCATCTCTTTGGTTCCGTTGACTTTCTATATTTTAATTCATTCCTTTACCATTTCTAAGATATCGTATAGTTCATATTTTCTATCTTTTCATTATGGTTCTAAGAACATGGTTGGTTCAAACTTCACTCATTGAAGTATGATGTATTTTACATTTTTATGCAGGATATATTGCGTTTTCATGCAGTATACTGGCCAGCTATGTTAATGTCAGCCGGACTAACACTTCCGAAGATGGTGTTTGGCCATGGATTCTTAACAAAGGTAACTAATTGTAATTTATGACTTCTCCTTTATTCAAAACAAGTCTAGGGGCCATACATAGCTTAAAAAATTCTAAAACACTGGTATAACGTGTCCCAGGAAGGATCTTACTCCTTTCACATTCACAAGTGTCGTTGTTTTTTAAATTATCTGGCCTATTACCAAATACCAAGTCTTGCTAAGATGCCATTAAGTTGCAAAATCAGAGACTGGTATTCAAGCTCAATATAGTTCTGTTATATTTGTGTAAACTATAACTGGAGCCTGTGTCATGCCTGAGTAGTTTCATTCTTACGTTACATATTGGAGGGCATGAAGATTTCTGTAATATAAATCACTACCTGTCTTCTAAATTTTTATATCCTTTTCCCATATAACTTGATGTCTTTGAGTACACAATTAATATAATTAAACACTTCATGATATTCAATGCTGTCTTAGTTTGGGATTTTTTCAAACTGCAAGTCTTTGATACATTTGACTTGATGTCTGTTTTGACTTATTGAAAAATAGATATGCAAGTTAGTAAGGAACTTTTTATTTTTTAATCTCATATACCCATTTTGATTTCATGCAGCAATGCTTTTTATTTTAAAAATTTTAGGATGGCATGAAGATGGGGAAGTCACTAGGGAATACTCTCGAACCAAATGATTTGGTGCAAAGGTTTGGATCTGATGCAGTCAGGTACTTCTTCCTTAGGGAGGTGGAATTTGGTAATGATGGGGACTACTCAGAGGACCGCTTCATCAATATTGTCAATGCACACCTTGCCAATACGATTGGTATTTCTTCATTTACCTTCTCCTCAATAGAATTTGTTCTGGCTAATTCTAAAACTGAGATAGGGAAAAAGAAGGTTGACCTTTAAAGTTATTAATGCAGGAAATCTTCTTAACCGGACACTTGGGCTTTTGAAAAAGAATTGTCAATCCACTTTGGCAGTTGATTCAACTATTGCAGCTGAAGGAAATGCATTCAAGGACACTGTGGAGAAGCTGGTAAGGTTTTCCTGGATTATTTTCTAATTTTTTTTGCAATAAGTAGATTACTTGAAAACTTCAATCGGGCAGTTGTTTGTCTGGAAATCCATGGAAAATTTAGTTGAGGACATTCATGTGTTCATTTTCTTTTGTTTTCATCAATATTATTCGTTGATTTAATCTAAGAAATATGAAGTTGCATGGGTTTTCCTTTCCTCAGTTTGGAATGCTAGACAAACGTGTTCTATGTATATGCATATGCATAGTTAAATTCTGTCCCGCAGTTTCATGTTCTAAAACTTCTTCATTATTATCAAAACTAATTCCTTTAAAAGGAAAAATCAAGGGCCTTTCATTTTACAATTGTGAATACGCACATAAATCTTTTTGCTTTCATGTGATTTGCGCAAGTTCATGTTGATTATATTTTATGAAGCCAACCCTAAGAATTTGGGATTTGAGGCTTTGATGAATTTTAGTTGTAGGTGGTGGGGATCACTCCTGCATTTGACGGCATAGAATCTTTCCTTTTTCACTTTCCCCAGTTGATTGTAACTTTTAACTTCTTTCTTTTTGTAGGTTGAGAAGGCTCGGGTTCAGTATGAAAATCTCTCACTATCATCAGCCTGTGAGGCCGTGCTAGAGATTGGCAATGCCGGGAACTTGTACATGGACGAACACGCACCGTGGTCTCTTTTTAAGCAAGGGGGTGCTGCTTCTGAAGCTGCTGCAAAGGTTTCCATTTCTTTCTGTTTCTATTAGATGTTACACATGTTCACTATAACTGAGATTAAAAAGACCATCAGACTTCAGATCCGCTTTCAAAACCTTAATTCAGCTACTTAGTCAATGCAAAAATATGTAGATGCTCAACAAGGATTAACTAAATCTGTTATCATCTATCCTTGCTTTCCTTTGAACTTGATATAGAACTTTCAGAGTCCTAATATGCCAGTTCAAGATTTCCTTTTATCATTGATGGCTATAATTTGTTGTTGTTGCTAGGGCTGTAAATATCGAGATTTTGGACTTTGATACCCATATTCACCGATACATGGGTTGATGCTGTCCAATATATGATCGTATCCCCGATACCGACACATATACTGACCATTTTTTAAAACTTGTGCTTCATGTTCTTCTCGTTGATGGTTTTTGAACAGGACCTTGTGATCATTTTGGAAACAATGAGGATCATAGCAATTGCTTTATCCCCTATTGCACCAAGGTTATGCTTCAGAATATATACCCAGCTTGGCTACTCAGAGGACCAGTTCAATGCTGTTACCTGGGTCTCTCTCTCTCTCTCTCTCTCTCTCTCTCTCACACACACACACACACAAACACGCACACGGAGCATTTATTTGCATGCTTGTTAATCGTCAACGTATATTTTTTACCAACTTGTTTAAATGATCCTATATCTCAGAGTGACACCAAATGGGGTGGATTGAAAGGTGGTCAGATCATGGCTCAACCGAAGCCTATCTTCGCGAGGATCGAAATCCAGAAGGAAGGGGAAGATGAGGTGAAAAAGAAATAAAGTAAAGAGAAGGAAAGGATACCTCAAAGTCAGAATCTGGCACAGGCCTAGAAAATCTGGTCTCAGCCAGATAACATAATCCATTTTGTTACATTTTTTCTTCCTCTGTATTTGGTTCCTTTTTCTGTTGTCATATTTTTTTTTTTTCTATAGTCAACCAATTTTATGTTACAGACTTGATAACAATAACAATTGATGTTACAGTCTTTTTTTTGTTCTTTTCTTTTCTTTTCTTCATAAAGTTCGGTTAAGATAAATGGTGTATCTTGGGACTAAATTGATATTTGTAGTTTGGAAGTTGAGGTTTCACATTTACTGCTAGACTAGTTTGATAACATTGATCTTTATTCTTTACAGTTATTTATTTATGTTTAGACTATAAAGTAAAAATTCGTATCTATTTTAATTTTCAAAAAATTGTAAAAAATATATAAAATTTACCAAATTCTGTATAATTATTTATTTGTTTTGAAGACAAAGTTTTCATTACTTCCACCCTTTACTATTCCCCCTCTGGCTACCATCAAGCCACCACCTTTGCCAACCACCACTTTCGCATGGCCAGCAACCACACCATAACCAACCACCTCCAATAAATTGAGTTCCACCATTGTGATGTAACCTAATTCCTAAATTCTGATCGGTTGCATTAAAAAAAGTTGGGGGGAGAGAGAGAGAGAGAGAGAAGATATGGTGATCCTTGTTTTTCACCATCAGATAACACAGAAGGTTGCAATGCAACCATGAATATGAGCTAACTGGAATACTGAAAGAACTATTAAAACAATTAATTGTGCAGGAGTCAAATTTACCCTTCTACAGAAGATTTTATGAATTACATAACTGAAAAAAGCATGACAATTCGCACCATACAAACTGTGAACAAGAAGGTTGTTTAATACCAAAACAGGAGAGAAGCATAAGAGATTAGCCAGCAATGAAAAATTTCTTTTCCATATATTAATCAAATAAAGGACATAGTCCCAGTCTGCAAAATAATGAAAACAGTTGCACAATTTATTCCAGATTGTGACATCTTACCCAAAAAGGAGGAAAAATAAACAAAAATAAGGCATAGAAAAACCAGATCAAGCTTCACTGGAAAATAGAATCAGCCAAATATCCTAGGGTTTTAGACTGTTGCCAAGTTCAGGCCTTTTTAGGGACACCAAGCCGCTGGCGGAAATCCTCCTCCATGAAGGGAAGGCCATCGCGCAACTTGATCTTTGGTTCCCAACCTAACAACTCCTTTGCCTTGGTGATGTCTGGTTTTCTCTGGCGAGGATCATCAGGTGTGTTTTCAACAGTCATGATCTTCACATCAGGGTTGATAAGCTGCAAATCCCAATTCTTTTCATTTAGCTTCCTTTCTTTTTCTAATCATTATGTTTAGATACTATCCAGACAAAGACATTGTAAGATATATGTATATTTAACATGTTCCAGTAAGAGCATCTCCAATCTTTCATAAAATGAAAGTGTGCTCCAACTATTTTATAAAATCTGTAACTAATCGAGGGAGAGGCAATTTTTCAACAAATCAAGAACAAAACAAATTCTTTACCAAATTTTCAACAGTAATATTTTTCCTCAAATATAATGAAATTTTTAAAAAGAGTAACCATTGTAGATGGGTTTTTTTTTTCATCAAAAATTGTTAAAATAGAGTAGGTTTGGAATTTTTCAAAAAGATATGATGAAAAAAGAGAGTAAGGATTTGTGTGTTCTATATCAAATCAAGTTTTTAACCAAAATTTCACTCAAATTTGATGAAAAAAAGTAAAGACTGGAGATGCACTAATTGGGAAAGCCCTAAAATGAGCAAGTTTAAAACTAACCTCCTTCACATTCTCGGCCAGTTCAAGCATTGTAAATTCACCTAAAACAACATAGTAATAATTTAGCATTATCCAGAGATTGCCAAGCACCATAATCCTTGTGTATTAATTGAGTCATATAATTACCTGGATTGCCAATGTTGATTGGCCCAGTATCATTTCCTTCCATAAGTCGAATGAGGCCATCAACCTGCAAGTTTGAAACAAAGGGGAAGGGAAACAAGTAATTTTAGAACACAACTTTAGTCAAGTTGAATGGTTGGAAATCAAAAACTCTTGCATACCATGTCAGATACATAACAAAAGCTCCGTGTTTGTGTTCCGGGCAATTGAACAGTCAAAGGCTCATCACTGCATATCAATGGAAGAGAGTAAGAAATGGATATGTTACTAAAGTAAACGAACAAAAATCTCGACTACAAGCCCTGGTCAACTAATGGATGGAGATGAGGATGGGGGATACAGATGTAAATAGGAACGTGTTCAGATTTTGCACAAAATGTAAGAATGGTGGTACTAGACATTACCGAATTGCTTGAGCTATGAAATTGCTGACAACACGCCCATCATCAATGTTCATGCGGGGTCCATAAGTATTGAAGATCCTTGCAATCCGTATTTCTGTTGTAGGTTCACCATTTTGAGATAGTAAGAACTTGATGAGACTACACTGTTCTACAGAACAAAGTTACCCAATGTCTAGATCTTGGAGAAAGAGAGAAAGAGAGAAAGAGATGGGGAATTTACCAATTCCATGTTGCCTATGGTAATCAAACATCAAAGTCTCAGCCACTCGCTTTCCCTCATCATAACAACTCCGAACACCTGTAATACACATTGGAAAACATCATTGCGTGTGCTGCAATTCCTAATACACGGCTAGTAACTACAAGCAAGCGTGCGCCAAAAACTGCTAGTTACTTCAAGCAGGCGTAACTTGAAGGATAGAGCTATGTCGCTATAACTAAGTTAAGAACTATTCATGGGGTAAAATAATCAACTGTCAAACTCACATCAAGTTCTCAACAAATCCTCACAATAAATAAATGTAAGTATATCCATTTTTGAAGTAATACTCCGCAATTAAAATGTTTGTATGGTAAATATACCTATAGGGTTAACATTGCCCCAGTATTCCTCGGTCTGAGGATGCACAAGAGGATCTCCATAAACCTCAGAAGTTGATGTAAGTAAAATCCTGTTGGCCATCATAATCCTATCAGTGAAACGAGAATTCTATAAATAATAGGGATGAAGTTGTAGAAATGTAGCTGCCAACCTTGCTCCAACTCGCTTGGCAAGTCCCAACATGTTCAATGTTCCCATCACATTTGTCTTAATTGTCTGTCAAGTATCATTCGATTACAAGTCAGAAAAACACTTAGCTTCATTAATGCACATTCAAGGAAAGCACACTTTTTGCAAGTGAGACGAGAGAACACTTTTAGTAAATGAAGATGCATCAAAAGCAATATTTGTAATGTCAAGCCATCAGGTTTGTTTTGCCCAATAAAAGAAGGGAAAATTACAAATCAAGTGTAGAAGACCAAAAACAATTACAAACACATTGGGTGCAACTTTTTCCATGCAAAGAAATCAGAGCAAAAATTGCACCCCCCCCAAAAAAGGGCAATGACACCACTAATTAGAAAAGAGTTCTAATGCAATGTTATCATTCATGATGTTGGTTTTAATGGGTTTTGGTTTCCACAAGGACCATGAGAGAGAGAGAGAGAGATTCCCCAACTAGAAGATCTGCTCATGCATAGAAGAAAGCTATTCACAATAGAAGTATGTTACTATGATTATCCTCTCAATAGCATACCTTTACAGGATTGTATTTGTAGAAAATTGGAGAAGCAGGACAAGCAAGATGATATATTTGATCAACTTCAACTAACAATGGCTCTGTGACATCTGCACCAAAAGAAAAATACAATACGATAAGATGGCACCAGACTGAAATAGATTGAAGATAAAGAGAAAGAGGGTTGAGGTCGAAGGAAACAAAACAAATGAAGGTCATTAGATTGTTACAGATTAAATTTATACTGAACTTACACTAGTTAGTGAAAAGGTACATATACCCAAACTTTGATCAAGGCTTGTGGTGTATGGATAACAAGTTGATTACTACATAGCTTAAATTATATTATTCTTTTGTAAAATATTTGAAGGCCTGGTTATCCCTAGCTCTTACAGAAAGTAAAACATGTCCTTATACTGCTGGATAGGTGTCAACTTTATCAATTCATCTTGTCACACCATTTCTATTTGCATTCATTTTTCTTACATAACCATCCACTTCAATTAATTAATAAAAAAAGTAAGAAGTTCAAAGGAAACCCCAATATAAAGTTAGTGCTACTAGAAGAATCTATGATCAGATTTAGACAATTTAGAGCATTTACAGCTTACAAGTTATAAAGAGTAAACAAGTTATAAGACAATGGCATACCATGACGAATAAGCTCAAATCTTGGATGACCAATCCATTGTTTTAGGTTGTCCTTTGAGCCAGTGAAGTAGTTATCCGCAACAATCACCTGAATACGATAAAGATGTGAAAACATGCAAATATCTTGATAAATTTTACAGCATGTATGCATGTTAACTAGCTGCTCCAGTGCTCCCTAATGACAAAAACATCAGGGAACATATATCGTTAATAAAAAGTAATGCCAAAAGGAGCATACCTCATTCTTCTCATTTTGCATCAATCTGTCCACTAGGTGAGAGCCAATGAACCCAGCTCCTCCAGTAACCAAAATTCTCATGTTAGCCTGTGATCAATAGTGTGAGACTTCAAGATAAAATAAGGGTAGTACATTGAAACAAATTATAAAGAAAGAAATATCCATCAATAAGTCTCTAGAGGGGAAAAAGGAAATCTCCACTCAAAAACATATTTTTCAAGCCTTATAATTCTTCTCTAAACTGAAAAACAAAAGATGGTGGATGTAGGCAAGAAATACACAACAAAACTGCAGTTCATATTATAGCCAAAAGGATCTCTAGATGCAAATCTTGATTGTTTTCATTAAATAATACTATGGGTGAAGCCCACCCGATGGGTGTGCTATTAAATTTGTAAAATATAAATTTTGATCTTGAATTAGAAATATATGTAGTGTTTGTTGATCAAGTGGTGAGGGTGTTATTTTTCAAACACAATATCTTAGGTTCAAATCTTGTGCACTTCACTTTATAATTTATTTTATTTTATTTTTTGATATAAAAAAATTCATTTGGCAAAAAGAGAGAGCAGGCTTCAAGAGACTAAAGTGAGTTGTTGACATATATAATAGTATAGATTAATGATTACCATTATTGCATCAACAATTTTGGTAAAGATCCAATTTTCATACATGACCAACAAAGGAACTTATCTCTCTGATCAGTGCAAATAAAATAACTTCTCAAGTTTGCGGAACACAACATATAAAACAGAATGACACAATGTCAACACAACTTCCAAAAAACCTTAAAAAGAACATATTTATGAAATCCTAAAAATAATGATTCAGGACTCAAAATGCTCAGGCCACTATAAGAACTACTCAGGGAGTTCACAACATTCTCATGATCATCCATTGAAGATTCTATATTTTTATCAAATTTTTCTCTGTCCTGATACCAGTGCCATCCAAAGAGAACAAATGTTAACAACATGAGATCATAAGCTAAATACAATGAGGCCTCTCATAACAAACTCCATTACATATTACCTGGAAAAATTTGGCACTTCGCAATGGAGATGGGTTTGGTGGGGGTTTTGTGGTTTGCCCATTTGAAGCCATTGCTGATTTTCCTTCTCGAAGTTGAAAACCTAAAATTCACAATTAAAAAAATAAAATAAAATAAAGTAAAAAACCACATATCAAACAAATTACAATCTAACTTCACCATACGTTGAACACAAAATTAAACCCCAACTTTCAATTCAAACCTCACAATCAGTACCCAAATAATCAAACACAGATTAAAAGTTAGAAACCAACAAATCAAGTTAGGATCACCTGATTGATCAAAACAATTTTTCTCAAAAACCCAGATTTCGCTTTGCTGGAAACAATTATAAAGATTGGTGCTTTTTATACAAGAATTGCAAGAGAAGACGAAAAAACAAAAACCCAAAAAAATTATAAAGCTACCAAACTGTACCAACCAGAGAGAGAAAGAGATTGAAACTTGAAAAACACGAAAAGTAGAGAATAAACAAAAGCATCAATGTAATGAAAGTGACCCTCCACACACCAAATTGTTTCAGATCTAACTCTCTCACTCATCACAGAGCCTTTAATCAGAGTCTAATAAGCTTAAATTACGGGGGCTTTGAATTTACCTCAGAGAATTGAAAGAGACCCTTTTTTGAGGATTTACTATTCGAAAGATTGTGTAAAGAAATACAAATCTCGGAGAGGTGTGTGTATATATATATATATATAGAGAGAGAGAGAGAGAGAGAGAGAGAGAGACAACGTGGGTGAGTAATGGGTTGAACTGGGAGGGAAGGATCGATGGGTGAAACCGCAACTCTCGGATCAAAAAAACGTTTCGGATTGAGATTACGTTTTTTTTCCTTTTTTTTGTTGAACTAGGATTGAGATTACGGTCTCCTCCTGTTTCTATCCTGGGTTGTCCTCTTCCAATTGAATGGAGCCACCTCATCTAATATTTTTCTCAAGAACACTTCCCATATATTAGCAAATTGTCCGATCAACCTTGTCATTTAGTGTTTTTTGATTGTGCAAGAGTTTAATTGGATTGGAGTTCATAGTGCTTGTATAGGAAAAATTGTTCCTGAATAAACACATACTATTTGTCAGATCAGATATAATAAATGTGTTGGATTTCTCATCTGTTTTGAGATTTGAATGCTAGTGTATGCTTAGCACATATTAATGTGGAGCAAAACAATTAAGGTAATATAGAACATCATTAAATCCATTGACATTCCAGGTGCTGAAGCTAGCCACTGAAAATGCAGCAGTCACTGAAGTTAGCCACTGAAAATGCAGCAGTCACTGAAGTTAGCCACTGAAAATGCAGCAGTCACTGAAGTTAGCCACTGAAAATGCAGCAGTCACTGAAGTTAGCCACTGAAAATGCAGCAGTCACTGAAGTTAGCCACTGAAAATGCAGCAGTCACTGAAGTTAGCCACTGAAAATGCAGCAGTCACTGAAGTTAGCCACTGAAAATGCAGCAGTCACTGATTCTGATCTGTAAGGATAAATCACTAGTGCAACTGTCTCTCTCTCTCTCTCTCATTAATATGCTGTGAATAATCTGCAGGAAATTTGAGAGGGAATTTAATTCTGAGCTTGAGTCTCGGGCCAATTTTGAGCAGCAGTTCTCAAGCCGAGCCATATTTAACTCATCTTGCTCAGTGGATTCTCAGTGTTGGAAGGGACCAGTGAGTTAGTTCTGACACTTTGCTCCGTCGTTTTTTGGGAGTAGACAATATTATTTAAGACGCCTTTTGCTCTTAAATTGTTGATATGGGACTGTTAAGAACAATTCTTCGTCTCTTTTGTCTTATATATTCTAGCCAATGAGCTTTTAACATGCTGTTTGCCTGAATTTTCTCCTTCTGGGATGTTGAAATTGGAGTGTTCAACTGTTGCTTCTAACCCTGATTATTAAACCTATATAGGGAATTGGCTCATCTTGAGTTAAGATAGTAGTAAAATGAAAATTCTCAAAATATAAACAATTTTTAAAATATATGACATTTTTTTTTAATAACCAATCATCTCGACTTGTTTGCGTGTATCTCATCTAATCCTAATGAGCGGACAAATTTTCAGTGGTCCATTGGAGTAAGACCAACTTGAAAGTCTGAATTTTATCGTTGAATTTTTACCGCTCAGCCAAATCTTTAGAGTTTTTGTAAAAATATATGATAGGAGGTTAAACAAACCAAATCTCAACTGTAAATGAAATAGTAGAAGCCAGTTTGATGGTTTGACAAGTTATATACTATTAATAATTCTTAAAATCTAGAAATTATATGCAATTGGGAATTGTTGAACCCTAAAACATGTATGATGTATTGGGAATAATTAGTTTTTGAAACTTGTGGAATTGGAACTGAAAATAAAAATTGTGGGACTGACGTAAGTCGAAATCTGTTTATTACATACTCCACATCTTATTAAAACTAAAATTTAATACACAAGATGTCATTGAAACCTTGTTAATTGATGACTGTATGGGAAAGAGAATGAAATCCTTGTTAGTTAATGACGGTATGGGAAAGAGAATGAAATCAGGCCTGGTTGAATGGCTTTGTAAATCGTAAGAATGTGCCCTCAAGAAAGGAGAGATTGGCTTGGAGCAACAAAACTAGAGTATAGAGTATAATGGTTTCCGTAATTTAATTTTAGGAAGTTGGTAAAAAATTAATGTTTTGGTTTTTTTGTGACTTTTTTATTTTTTTATATAAAAAAGTAAAGATATAATGGGACCTAAAAAAATCCAAAAACTAAAAAGTTGACTTTTTATCAACTTGCCAAAAGGTCCCATATGTCTTGAGATAATAAAATCAATCTTTTTATTTGTAAGCTTTAAGGGATTGGAATGAATGTATGTAGTGCTAAGACACGAAGATAAATAATATAAAATATACTTTTAATGTAAGAAAGTTGTCAATAATCACTTTTTTATTTGTAATACTAGCAAATTATGGAGAAAAATAGGTTAAGTGTTATGTAAATTAAAACTTTAAATGAATTTAATATAATATGTAAATTTGTGAAATTTATTATATTTTCTTTAAATTTTAAGAGATGTGAATGTAATTTATTCAATATTTTATTTATATATCATTACTTTAAACAAATGTGATTATTCATTATTTTAAGTCTCTCTTAAATATTAAATTTGGAATTGAATAAAAAATAAAATAAAAAAATAATGGAATAAAAAATAGAGAGTTTGTTGGAGAATATATTTAAAAAGATGGTTAGCTAAAATAGAAAAAAAGACATTTAGTTAAAGTTTAACTAAAAAATTGACTATTTTGATGGAGATGCTCTAACATAAAACTTAGCCTCGTTTGGGAACAGGCTAATTTAGTAATTTTTTGACTATTTGGCTAAAAAGGTACGTAAAAAAAACTTGTATGTTTGGGATGACTTTTTGGCTAATTACGAAAACATGTGCAAAAAGTAGAGAGAAAATAGAATTTTTAACTTTTTGGTATGAGTTGTTGGCTTTTTGGCTAATTTAGTAACTTTTTGACTAATTGACTAAAAAAATAAGTCTCCAAACGGATAGGCTTATAAATTGCACCAATATGGAACACTACGAGTTATTTTGGAAAAATGGTTAAAAATTAGCTCTTTTTTTTAAAAAAAAAAAAAATGAAAAAAAATGTAAAAATATAAAGAGGTAATGTGACCAAAATAGGTTAAAGTTAAAAAGTAACTTTTTACTTTGTTACCTGGATTTGTTTTAGAGCACACAATAATTTCTCAATTGTAGATCAATTATTACATACGAATATTGCTACATTGGCTGAACTTATATTTGTAGGTTTTAGAGCATCCAATGGTTAAAATTATTTGTTAAAATGTGTATTATATGATAAAGAATGATAAAAGTAAAATTCAAAAATATGTGTTAAGGTTTGTTAAAAATTTGTTAATGTTAAAAAGTGAATAGTGAAGCAATGAATGTGTTAAGATGTCTGTTAAATATATATATATATATATATATATAAATAATAAATAAAATATAAAATAATTGAAAAGTGCAGTGGACCCTTAACCCATTGCACTCATCGACGTCTTTCTCTTCTCTCTTCTTTCTTTTTCTCAAGCCTACAATTCTTTTTCAAATCCAGTTGGGCGCCCATAAAGAAATTCGACCCGCCAAAAAAAAAGTTGGCCAACCAAATGCATTTAAAGGGGTCCGAACGTCCAGCTAGACGACCAGTAGAACATCCGACCGAACGACCCCAAGGCATTGCCTTTCCCAATGTCTCTCTCTTCTTTCTCTTTCTCTCGGCTAGCTGGAAGCATTACCACAACTTACATACAAGTTAACAGCTGACACTAACACATTCCTTAACAGCTCCATTGTAGCACAAAATAATATTTTTAGCTGGCAAAAAATTAGCAGTTGACACTAACACATCCATTGTGGATGCTCTAAGGTTATATCAAGCTAGTCGTTTTAATTTGAGAGATTATTTAGGTTTGATAAGTCTGTTTTGAAATATATTTTAGTGATTTAAATTGTTCATTTTTTAGAAATTATTGAGTAAATTATTCATATAAAAAATCAAGATGATCGAATATCGATGACTATATGTTTAAATCAAATTTATATTACAAAAAAATGGATGGCTATTTTTTAAATTATATTTATATATTTATTCAAATATATAGTTACTGATATCTAATCATCTTGATTTTTGGCATGAATATTCTACTTAATGAGTCTTAAAAAGTGAACGGTTCAAATCACTAAGATCGATCCTAAAATGAGCCTACCAAATCTAAACGCTCTCTCAAGTTGAGATTACAATTTGAGAGAAGTTAAACCGGTATTTATATTGATGATTAGGAGACAATTTAAAATAGAGTTAATTGTAATTGGGGGAAAAATATTTGTACTCAATAATTTTTTCTTACTAGTAATGATATATATAAATAAGAAATTTATATACAAAAATTATACATCATAGATAATTATTAGGTATTTCTAGAACGGCATGTTATGTTGGTTATATATTGTTTTGAATAATTTTTAAAATATTAAAGGTTCATTTGGGAAGTGGGTTGATTTTTTGACTATTTTAATTTGGGATTAAAAGTCTCGTTTAGGAAGGATTTTTTGATTTTTTTTATTTTTTGTGAGAGCAAGAATGTAATGATTATGGATTGAATTGAATGTGATGTTTTGTCTTATTAGACTACAAAATATATTTTGTTTTTTTGTGACAAACGGAGGCTAAGAGTGAAATATGTTAATTTGTTTTTCTTTTAAATTCTCTCAATGATATGGTAAATAATACCAATCAATTAATTATTTTCAAGTTATTTGCCACGTTATTAGGAAAATTTGGGGGAAAAAAATTAGAAAAATTTGGGGGAAAAAAATTAAGGTGATGGAACGTATTTCTTAAGAGAAAACAAAACACGAAAAATTATTTCTCAAGTAATTGAGCAAAAGCTCTTAGACATGTACACATCATCGTTTGATTTGATTGAATTATAAAATATGAAAAATTGATACATGTAACATGATTTGTGTGTAATACTATACTTGCAAGGCTATTTAAGAATCATCTTTTAATTTTTAATTTATTTTGAATTATATTATTTTTATATTTTTTTCATAAAAATTTTAAAAATCAAATTTTAGCATTCGTTTGGGATGTGAGTTGATTTTTTAACTTTTTAACTGTTTTAGTCTAAGACTAAAAAGTCTCGTTTAGGATAGACTTTTTTTATTTTTGTGAGAGAAAAAATAAATTGATTATGGTTTAATTGTGATGTGTTGTCTTATTGGATTACAAAACCTATTTTATTTTTTTATGATTATTTTAACCCAAACCTTATA